TCACAAACACAAGGACATGAACAGCAATCACAAACACAAGTACAAGAACAGCAATCACAAACACAAGTACAAGAACAGCAAGCACAAACACGAGCACATAAACTGCAAGCACAAACACAAGTACAAGAACAAACACATAAACAACGATCACAAACACAAGGCCATGAACTGCAATTACAAACACAGGTACAAGACAAAACACATTAACAACAATCACAAACACAAGCACATGAACTGCAATCACAAACAGAAGCACACACTTACAAGCAAACACACTTGCACATGCATGCGTGTTCATATCATCATATCGAGTCGACTCATATAAACACATAGATCGAGATCAATATCATGTCTAATCTTGGGTTTTCGAGGATGATAAAATTATATTATTAGCAAAATCACAATTCGCACGAGTTTTCACATATATGCCAATGACACATTCTTACCTTTGAGAAATCTCCTATAAGGTTAGGCTCTTCTGTACCTGAAGATACGATACGAAACGTACTGTTACCCAACTGTGTTGCTATTCTGTGCACCATCCTAAACGTCTATATGCACTATTCGTACTATTTGTGGTGCACTGGTTGCGAAATGGTGCAAGTACAAAAGAAGAAAGGAGACTAGAACTGCAGTACTGCATCGTACTATGCATGGATAGCTCAGATCTCTCCTATAGGTAGAGTACACAGCTGTGTGCAGAGACTTGCATCCCTGTAGAGTATCTATATTATATTGCTCCCGGTATTATTCCCCCACAAAGCTGGATGAAATAGTATATTATTCTGATATTACCTGATATGCGCCTCATATCATTATCACAGAAGAAACGACATAGCATTATATTATAATATCAGGAGCTCATAAATGGATTCCATTTATAAGCTCCTGATAACATAATATAATGCTATGTCATCTCGTATATCTCTGTATATATATATAATATATATATGATACGACTCCTGGCAGTATTACGGCATGCTGGCTGATCACTTACATCGCTGCAGCGCGCGCATGATGGTTGCCTCGGTCTCGGAGTGGCAGCGCTGCAGTGTCGGCTTCCTCATAGCCGTCGTCGACGGCGGCGGAGGCTGCATGTTGGCGTGGAAACCATGCACGACGGAGTGCGAGCGATGCAGCCTCGGCTCCTCGACGACCAACGCCTGCGAGAGACAAAGCAATCATTCACACACGCGCACGCACACGCGCGCACGCACGCACGCACACACGCACGCACGCACGCACACACCTGCAAAGAAACGGTCTCCCACACGTTAAAGTGGATAAACCTCGCAAGAAAAAGCCTACACACACCGACTGTGAGCATACTTGCGGTATGCAAACATCACAAAATGTTCTTATTGAGCCAGAAATGTGCTTCGAACTAGAGGATTTTGAAACAACGTCAGCAGTACTCCAGTTAGCCAAGTACTCACGTTTAGATTTTGTGAAGAAATGTTATGAAAGTAGCAATACAAATGAGTTGTAGTGAATTTGTGCAACATAGACAAGCTCACAGTAGGTATATCTATAAATGTACACGTTCCAGTACTGCAAGATTTGGGTTGAATGCAATAAGCAAGAGGCCTGTCGTGAGTTCAAGAACTTTGGGGCAATCTCGATGCATTCTGGGCTTCACTTTGAGGGAATCAACCTCAAATTTATATAATAACGAGCATTGCCTAAAACGAACATTGAAAATCCAAATAACCTAATTTCGTGAAGAATTTTATGAGATAGGATCTGATGGGGGTGGGGGGCTAATCTACCCCTGACACTGGAACTTAGGATGTTAGCTGTCTGAATTCACACCCTGGTGCTAAGAGAAATTACACAAACTTACAAACTGTGAATAATTATGAATACTGACTATACTTTATGACTATACTTATACTACACACTGTTATGACTGCATGAACGATGTGTTACAACTGGTGCAGGCACTCACACTGCCAGCTGGGCAATCCATGTTAATGCTCCTGCGTCGTTTGTTCGACACGGGACTGCGGCACTCGCGCGGCGGCTCAGGTCGCTTGAACGATGAGGCCCTCGCGAGGCGGTTGTTGGGTTCGGGCGCACTCGGAGACCGTGCGAACAGTGGCCGGCAGGAACGCATCTTGCTGCCTGCTCCCTGCAAGCAAGAGACACGAACCTTTCAAACAACAACAGTGGTGATAACAGTAGAAACAAACGTGCGCGCACACTGAACCAGGGTTTCTTCTACATAAGAGGTACAGTGGCGCACCGCTGTTGTCAAATTTAACATCGCCGTTGTGAAAATGTTCCCGTATTAACCCCCTACCCCCGAATTACATGTTGGAAAATGCCATGATTCGGTGAGAAAATGCGAGAAATTTTGCGGTTTAATACGTAAGAATAACAGCTTCAGACAGCCGTAAGAATACGTAAGAATACAGCTTCAGACCGCCGTATGCGTAAGAGAGAGAGAGAGAGAGAGAGAGAGAGAGAGAGAGAGAGAGAGAGAGGAGAGAGACAAAGAAACAGCGCGCGATAGATAGTATTAGATAGATAGATGTATATAAATGACACTCTTAGTACCCTCTTGCGTATTTGTATACAATTTACCCATTTAGTTTCCACTCGATACACCCCTGTCTCTCTCGTCGTTCTCCGCTCCGCCCCTAGGTTAGCGCTCCCCACGTAGTCCGTCACAGCGCAACGCGCGAGGGGCTGGACGGGTAGGGCTAGGTTATATATATACATATCAAGTTACAGTACTCACAACAAAACAATACCGTAACCCAACACATGTACACCCAACTCCTGTGTTGGGTGACATCATTGTATCTATCACTAGTCTATATTGTAGCCGACCCCTGCACATGTTACCAACATGTTATCCGCCCCCGCACGTTCTTCCAAATAAGAGTGCACAGGCACTTGGAACGTTTCAATAAAAAAAATAATGTTAAATAAACAGGAAATTTTCGTGTTTATATTTACCATTATTTTTTTATTGAGACGTTCCAAGTGCCAGTGTTAGAGTGCGAAACAGCCGACACGCTATCAAAAGCACATGAACTGTACAGTTCGTGCTCTTGACACACAAATGGTTGAATCGACTCTTTCGGATGAAACACAGAATCGTAGCAGAAAGATACTCTAAAAGGAAAAAAATACACAGATCGCCAACCACGAGCGAAGAATGACGCGATTCCCCACTTTCTAACACCCCCAACACTAGCTCCAAGAAACGGTCTTGCTAGTGTTAGAAGACATATATACAATAATACAATATAGTATAGACAATCAGTCGCACAGCCTTGTCGGGCTATCCCAACACCAACACAACACGCCCGCGCTATCCCAACACCAACACAACACGCCCGGCAATCACCCCTGAACATTCCCCACACTTACCCCATCCGCACCCTGAATCACCCCCCCTCTAAAACCCTCTATCAACCCCTAACAGCCCCCTCTCATTCCCACCCTCTAGCATCTCCCCTTTACACCAGGATTAACATTGCAATAGATTCTCTCTCTCGGCCCAATTTCGACCAGGCAGAACAACCGCTAACTGCTGGCGAAACCGTCATCATTAGAACAGGTTCTTGCGTTCCCCTTCGGCACATCTTCACTTCGTCTGTAATCCACTTCTCCCCCTTCTCTACGGTTGTCTACGACCCTATGATACGCCCGCCTCCCACTCCGTACCCAATTCTACAGATCCACCGATATCATCTCAACGCACCTCTCGGCTTCTCACCGAACTCCAGACTTTACCGACTCAATCATGACTATCTGCATGCAGCAAACCCCCACCGCCCACACCGTATCGGTTCAGAAGGGGCTAAACGTGTTTTTTGCTTGTGGTTATCCACGCACGCACGACAAATGCTTTTCGAATTTGGAAATTCAAACACGACTTCAACCGGTCCCCGTCTGAATGTACGATAAACCATAAAACATCTGTGCGGCTATTGTCTGTTGATCCTGGTACTATCGAAGACGTGACGTTCACATGCTCACATCGCCTGCATAAAATACCCTCCTCCCCAAATACACACGCGCACGCACTCACAGGCACTTGGAGCGTTTCAATAAAATATAATGCTAAATAAATACGAAATCTATTTACTACCAAAGTCTAAATGTTTCCTATTATTGCCGACAATTTCCTGTAAATGCCGTCCAAATGCTCATCTGCAACACACGCTCGCTATATATTTATGTGTCAGTGTGCAGCCGCTAGCGTGCGGCAGCCAGCGTGTTTTACAGAAAATTGTCGGCAATAATAGGCGAAAGAGAGTAGAGAAACATTAAGACTTTGGTAGTAAATAGATTTCGTATTTATTTAGCATTATATTTGATTGAAACGCTTCAAGTGCCTGTGGCTCGCTCGCAAGTACACACACGTACAGTTACTACAAACGCTGCGACAAAGAAAGACAGCCGTTGGTCACGGACAGTTATAGCAGACGACACTAGAGGGACAATGGAAATGTACACAAAGGCGTGTTTGTTTTAGCGTTTTTAACTACAATCGTTTTATTTGGTAAAAAAAAGAACCTGTAATAAATCGACATGTCAAACTAGCGTTACTCTCGTGGCTCGTTTCTATTTATTTTACTGATAAAGCAACGGCGCTTGAAATCCTACAGCTCGGAGTGCGTCTCATCTTGGTCTCATGTATGTGCTACGCACGCATACCGCCTCCTCACATCCGTCCGCACCTCCCTGATCGTTACACAGAACTGCGTTATGTTTACACACGTACGCACCCATACATTCCCTTCACCATCCACCGTAGTATCTTAAAGCACAGCTACACTATCCTTAGAAAAACAAGACATCGTGACGAGGAGACCGCGATGCTCGCAACGCACCTTACCTTTTCTCGGAAATAAAGGACGGCCCACAGGCACTTGGAGCGTTTCAATAAAATATAATGCTAAATAAATACGAAATCTATTTACTACCAAAGTCTTAATGTTTCTATACTCTCCTTCACCTATTCTATAAATATATAGTGTACTAAGTGTATAGTGTCAAGAGTAGATAATAACACACTCCCTCTCTCCTTCTGTCTGTTTCTTTCTCTATCTCTCTCTCTCTCTCTCTCTCTCTCTCTCTCTCTCTCTCTCTCTCTCTCTCTCTCTCTCTCTCTCTC